GCGTAAAACAAGAAACGCGTAAATGGAATAACAGAACATATGGGATTAATTGAAATAGAGACTGGGCCGACTCCCAAACTCCACTTTTTCAGACACAATAGCTACGTTGTAGTAAAAATAACATCTTAATTTTATGATGGTATGCACACACAATTAATAATTAAGAGAAATATCAATAATATTAGGTTTTTTAACACTTACATTAGTAGAAAAGATGGCTGGGCACACGGGGATGGGGGGTTGGTTCCGAGGCAGAGGGCAGATTATTGGCCCTCACCTGTATCACTTGTATCAATTGTATCACTATCCACCACAGAGGCTTGCAGGGCCTCTTTGTCAAACCCCTCAAAGTCCATATAAGTCCATATCCTCACTATCATTATCACTGACTTGGGCCGGCTGTGGTGGGTGGAGGGTGAAGAACTAGGTAATGTTTTGATGACTGGGCGACCTTGTGCGCACCCTGACCGCGCCACTTCTCGCGTAAATGAGTAAATTCACCGCGTAAATCGGGCATCCCGGTTCTGGCAAGGTACCGCGTAAATGACCAAACGCGTAAACAAGAACCGTTTTTGGCTTTACTTTGTATGTACTTTTCTGTGAGTTGGAATCAATTACCCAATATCCCATTGAAATAATGGATTCGGTTAACGGACGACTCTGTGGAACGAATTGTGTTCGTTAACCGAGGGACCACTGTACTGTACTGTACTTTATTCCTAAAATATTGGGGTGTTACAGCACCTTCCCTTCCCACGTCCATGTACTAAGTGGAGTGAGCCAGCCAGCACACACCCGACCACAACAATAACAAACACCAGACTGACTAAGCGTGGAGCGCAGGGCAGCGAGTGTTATCCACGTGGCCAAATATGCCGAGATTTTCCCAGATAATTTTATATAACTCGGCATTTCCCCGAGTTATTGTATAATAAATTCCGAGACCATAGGCATGCCGAATTAGGGTTTACTGTAAAATTAGGGCCAATAATTACCAAAATTCTATTTTTTTGCCCTAGATCCTTAATCAGCATGTAAAAGAGTACAGTACAGCTATTGAGATTTTGAACAAAATCATAATATTTGAGATTATGGTTGATATTTTGGCAAAAAATAACTTTTTCTCTCAGAATTGGAAATAAAATGTTTAACTATTTTTGTACACCCATAACAACACAAAAACACCAAAGATTTCCATGAAAAGCCCACAGGTAATGAGCAATAAAATGATACTATGGTTGTAAATAAGAAGCAAAAACAAGAGTACCTTATGGCCAAAACTCACCATCAGATGACAATACTGTACAGGGGAGCCCCTCAAGTTCGCGGATTTTTATTTTGCAGTCCTCTATTATTCGCGGATGTACCCAAGAATGTCACCGAGTAGTTTTAAAATTGCCGGCATTTCTGCGGCTGGGACAGAGAGCCATTCGTTCTAGAGACAGTAAGGCGCAGGCGAAAGTATGGGTGGATCAATGGTTGAGGGCAGGAGGGAGGAGGGGGATGAGTTGACCAGCCGGCGGGGAGATTACTGACCCAGACATCGTTATCAGTCATACAGAAGAAGTTTAAATTTTTAGCTTATAAAATGTCAATGAAATGACTTGGGAGAATATAATTTACATTGCTGGAATTCTTGTAAGATAATGATTAATTTGAATATAAACATGATATAGTTTGCACTAGACATAAAAATTTTAGTAATCATTTAGTACATTTGAGTACAGTACAGGTTTGCCCTTTGGAAAATTATTTCTTTTACTTTTCTCACAATATATATTTAGGATGTTGTGAGCATGTAAATGAGTAAAACTACATGAAGTTACTATATCTGGCCAAAACTACGAGTTGAGAAACTTGTACTTAAATGTACTTAAAGGACTAAAATTTTTATCTCGTGGAAAATATATGATGTATATATTCAAATTATTCGCTGTCTAGCAAGGGCTCCAACAACGTAAGTTATATTCTGCTGAGACACAACTGACGCCTCACACCTGCATGGGTCAAGCTTTGGCCCCGTCAGGTAATGTTGGTGTCACTCTGGGTATGTCACATTTTTAATAAATTTGTTTCTGATTATTTGTGAGAGTATTTTCCCATTATTATTTATTGGTGAAGACAAACACACACACACACACACACACACACACACACATATATACAATACAGGTATAAGAAATAATTGTCCTAAGGGCAAGCACACAAAGGGAATACAGTCATGAGCCGGTTAACGTCCTAGATACGTTCTTGGAAACGTGACGTTAACCGAAATGGACATTGTCCGATCATCACATAAACTTTTTATTTATACTTATGTGTATGTGGAATACTATATACGTACATATTCACTTTTACTGTTAAATCACTACTGTAATGTGATACAGGTGATTAATTTTTATCTCTTGTGCAAAATACATGACATTTATATTAAAATTATTCACTGTTTTACAAGGATTCCAGCAACGCCGAGCAGATGGGGGAAAGGGTGGGAGCGAGCGAGGGGGCGTGGGGGGAGGGGAGGTAGTACGTTTGACAGTTGGCACAGGCCCAGGTCTAACGTGTGTATGTTTATCAGTTCTTAGGTGACTAAGCTTCTCTCTTATTAAAAGCCAGTAAAATGACCTGGGTGAATATAATTAACATAGCTGGGATTCTTGTAACATACTGATTAATTTGAATATAAACATGCTATAATTTGCACTAGACAAAACAATTTTAGTACCGTAATCAAATTAGTAAATGTGCACTCCAGCTTTGCACTAACGTCATTTATTTCTATTACGTTTCTTTTAGTATGGTGTGTGGATGTAAATGGATGAAAATAAATGAAGAAATCTATGTAAATCTACCCAAAAATACAGTTGAAAAACTTTTTTATAAAATGTACTACAGTACTGTACACTAATGTACAACAATTTTTATCTCTTGAGCAAAATATATGACGTTTATATTCAAATTATTGTCTGTCTTGCAAGGATTCCAGCAATGCAAATTATATTCTCCTAACTTTAGTCTGAGATATTATATAAGATAAAAACTGTAAGCCTAAAAGCCTGGCTGGGTGGGGGGGGGGACTGACGGCTCCGCCACCCAGCGAGGGGTTGGTGGGGTGGGGGGGTTGAGGTGATAAGTTTGAGGCGAAGGTCTCTGTGTGTTTATTTAACAGTCCTACTAAGCTTCTCTCATTTTAAAATGCCAGTGATATAACCTAGGAGAATATAATTAACATAGCTGGGATTCTTGTAACATACTGATTTATTTGAATATAAACATGTTGTAATTCGCACTAGACATAACAATTTTAGTACCGTAATCAGCTTTGCACTAATTTATTTTGTTTCTTTTAGTACGGTGTGTGCATGTAAATGGATGAAAATAAATGAAGAAATTTATGTAAATCTACCCAAAAATACAGTTGAAAAACTTTTTATAAAATGTACTACAATATTGTACACTAATGTACTACACTTTTTTATATCTTGAGCAAAATATATGATGCTTATATTGAAATTAATCTCTGTCTTGCAAGGATTTCAGCAATGCAAATTATATTATCCTAACTTTAGTCTGAGATATTATATAAAATAAACATAAAGAAATCACCAATCTTTTATCTTGAACACAGGGTGGAGAGAAGACGGCGGGGGAAGGGGGGGGAAAGGTGAGGTGACAGAATGTCTGGCATTTGTTTGTTTATTTATTTGAGATAAGATTTGACAGTTGGCGCTGAAGGCCTGCCTGCGTGTTTATTTATCATTACTTAAGAGTGACTAAGCTCTTCTCATAATTTTCCACCCAAACGACCTGAGTGAATATAACTTACATTGGAGGGATTCTTGTAAGATAGTAATTTATTTGAATGCTTTTTTTTCAATTTAAATTTAATTGTTTACTCCTTGATAGAGGAAGCGGGATCCTAGTGCTGTCACTTGGTACCCCTGTACCATAACACCAAAAGCAACTGGCCAGTGTGACAAGCATATACAGTACAGTACAGTCATCCCTTGGTTATCGCGCCTAATTGGGACCCCGCCGATAACAAAAGTACAGAGCCTATGGGATTTATTCTAATTGGTTCATTTACCCAAGACCCAACCCCAAGTTTCCCATTTTATGATCATTTAGACCCACTAAATATATATATAATGTTATGGTAAATATCATAAACACTCATAGGCATGGCTAGGTTTATTACAAAGTGATGAAAAGGGTACGCTTAATTCTGTAGTCCACAAAACATGTAGCTATGCTTTTTTTATTTGGTCCCCCATCATACGAGTCCGTTTTCTCTCACATCAGGACGCCTGAGTCCTCCGTTTTCTCTCTTAATCTTAGAGTGCACCAAAAACGTTACTATTTTTAGTAATGCCACAGAATTTGAAATTGCAACCCCAATTGCAACTGGGGTTGCAATTGTTGAGGCAACTAGATATGTCTGATTACAGCAAATGTGTTATTGTCAATTTGTAGGTGAAAGATTTTATCCTCAATAGATGTAGGTTAACATTTCACCTGTAGGCAAATGCTTAAAAAAAGCCTAAGTAAGGAAGCATATTCCTTTAACAAATAATATCTGACCAGTATGGGGAGAATCATCATGTCTCCGTCAGGGGGTCGTGGAGTGGTGGTCCAGCAGGCGTCACGTTTTTTTGGGGGGCACGGACGTATATGCGATCGGACGTTGTTCGGTCGAACGTTAACCAGCGCATGACTGTACTGAATACTGTACATTTCTTTGTACACAAGTAAAAATGTAACCCCCCCCCCCACCGGATCAGCAATTGTTATTCGAGGATTCGAGGATTTGCGGCCATTTTGAGAACCTAACCCCTGTACTGGAAATGTTATCCAAACTTACAATTTTTTAAATGTTTGTCTCTGAAATACGTAATTCGGCAGATATTTTTCATTCTTGCAATGCCCACAAGCCAACAATTCACACCGGCCATCACATTCCAAGGGTAATAATGATAAAAGACAAGACATTTGTACCATACCTTGAGCAGTGTAGAGCACACCACCACTGACAGTGTACTTCATGCGGGTCACCCGGCCAGGGTTTACTTTTTGGATCTCCCACTTCCATGGCCGCTCTCCAACACACCAACACACCAGCCCTTCGCCTGTGCTGGCCATCATCACACCTGGAATACAATAGGAAAATACAGATTTAATGGTTAATCAGATTATTTGTGCAAGATGTACACAACCACTAAGTTCCACAGAAAATAAAAGTTGGCCATTTATCCGACACAACCTGTACCTGTAATACAATACTGTATATGTTAATCTACTAATCTTCTAAAATGATTGCCCCATATATTTAAATCTTTCTTGGAAAACTATATAGCGTAAAATAATTTCCTGAAATAATGATCCTACTGTCCAACAGTTGTGTAGAAAGAGAGATGGATGGAGAGAGGCAGAAAAAATCTGGTTTACAGTAACATGGAAATGTTTATTGTTGCTTGGTTTAAAACAGTTAATGTAGTTTAGGTCTGGCTGTAAAAGTTCTTTTCCATGACCACACTCTCCAACATAACTTGGAGGTCCTTCCCATTACCTTTTTTTTTTTTTATGGGTATTAGCCCACCTGGGCACAGGTTATTTTAATGTCCCACATCAAGGCCGGGGAGGGGAGGGGGGGGCAAAAATATAATAAATTAATAATACAGTGATATCTCTGTTAGCCGGAACAATTGGTGCAGAGCACTTCCGGGAATGAGAGATTTCCGGGTAACGAGACGACTCTCTCAGAGCAGGAAAAAAACCTCATCCCCGGAACTTTCCGGGTAACGAAAACAAATTTCTCGGAAGTTCCAGAAATTACCCAATACATCTTCTCTCAAACTCGGAAAAAAATCCCTCATCCCCGGAACTTTCCGGTAACGAAAACGTGTTCTCGGAAGTTCCAGAAATTACCCATTACATCATATCTCGAGCCCGGAACAAAATTCCTCATCCCCGGAATTTTCCGGGTAAATGAAAAATTTTCTCGGAATTTCCAGAAGATGCGCCTGATTTTCATTTCTCAAATCCAGAAAAAAAATTCCAATCCCCGGAATTTTCTGGAATTTTATGGGTATCAGGAAAATTTTCTGTGAATTTTGTGGGAAATGTGCCCCTCGGAAAATCGCTCCCAAAGCCGTAATTTTCCGGAAAATTACAGCTTTGGGAACGATTTTCCGAGAAAATTTCAATTCTGGCTATCAGAGAGTTTCGGGTTTGAGGGATTCCGGCTAACGGAGATGATGATAATAAAAATAATAAAATTAATAAAAATAAATATACAGTATATAAATAACAATAATAATAACAGAAAATAATAATATTGTACAGTACTAATAAAAAATAAAAAAAAATAAAAATAATAATAATAATAATAATAATAATAATAATAATAATAATAATAATAATAATAATAATAATAATAAAGAGTCCTAAATAAATAAAAAAAAATTACAAAATATCAAAGTGAGAAACAATATATGTATGTTGTGTTGTTAAAGTAAGAGAAACAATTGAGACCCTGCAATTGTGTGTAAATGAGGCAGAAAGTCAGATCAGCAACATGGGACTTGGTCACAATTTTTGTTATGCCATATGGCAGCAGTGTCCACCATTAGACAACACATTATGCTTCCAATATCTTCACAGGCGGTAGTACCTCCCTGTATGATGGCTGCCTACTACCTACCACCAGTATAGAAAGAATGAACTGCCCTTATTCTTTCTATACTGTATGAATACAGTAGAACGTCGATTTAAAGCGATTCAATTGAAGATTATTGATTTAAAGCAACACCCACAATTAAGGACAATGTTTAAATTTAAAGCGTATCTTTCCTATTTTGCGCGAGTCAATCTGGCACATCATATTATAAAATTCGCGCCTAATGTTTCTCTGGGCATGCTACACTGTCCTAAGGGCAAAGCTGTACTGTACATGTACTCAAAATAATGAATGATTACTAAAATTTTTGTCTAGTGCAAACTATGGCATGATTATATTCAAATTAATCACTATCTTATAAGAATTCCAGCAATGTAAATTATATTCTCCCCGTTCACTTCAGTGACATTTTATAAACAACAAAGCAATCTAAAGGACATAAATAAACAAATAAATACTTCACTAGACCTTCGGCCCCAACTGTCAAACACGTCACTGTCACCTCCCTTCCCCCATCCAGGGTTGGGTGGTTATAGGCTTACAGTTTTTATCTTATATAATATCATAGACTAAAGTTAGGAGAATATAATTTGCATTGCTAGAATCCTTGCAAGACAGCGAATACAGTCAACCCTCACTTTACGCGGTCCCACATTCCGCGTTTCCACGTTTACGCGGTGCCCTGCCAGAACCCGGGATGCTCACATTCCACGGTGTGTGCACCCCTTTACGCGGGTGAAGTATAATTTTTTTATTTAGCTCATAAAATTCATACAAATTATCCGGCCAGAATATAATTTACATTGCTGGAATTCTTACAATTTGATGATCATTTTGAATATAAGCATCATAGATTTTGCATTAGACATACAAATTTTAGATCTAATGCAAGTATTTTGTTTACTCAAAGCAAATATGTTATCTTTTGTGCAAAATATATGACATTTATATTCAAAATATTCCTGGTCTTACAAGGAACCCAGCAATGTCAATTATATTATCCTAACTTTAGTCTGAGGTATTATTTATTACTAAAAGTTAAAATCTAGTTTTTTCACCTAACATTTCTCTGGTAGGGAGGGAAGGTGGGGGGTGGGGGAGGGGGTTGGGACGGACCGACCATCTGGTGCGGTTGGAAGAGGGGGGAAGGCAAGGTGGGGTACTTTGATTGACAGATAGTGTTGTGAAGAATATTTTTTTTTTTTATTAACTGAAGATATTTGTTTTAGCTCATAAAATTCATACAAATTACCCGGCCAGAATATAATTTACATTGCTGGAATTCTTACAATTTGATGATCATTTTGAATATAAACATCATAGATTTTGCATTAGACATACAAATTTTAGATCCAATGTAAGTATTTTGTTTACTCTGAGTAAATATGTTATCTTTTGCGCAAAATATATGACATCTATATTCAAAATATTCCTGGTCTTACAAGGAATCCAGCAATGTCAATTATATTATCCTAACTTTAGTCTGAGGTATTATTTATTACTATACCTTAAAATCTAGTGGTTTTCCCCCAAAAATTTCTCAGAGAGGGAGCCAGCGAGTGCAGTGTGAGAAGAGGGGGAGGGAGTCGAGTCCATTATTTGAATGGACATTAACTCTGCGACTGTATTTCTCTATTTCTCTTAAGTATTAATTGTGTGCATGTACCATCATAAAATTAAGATGTTATTTTTACTAGAACATAGGTATTGTGTCGGAAAAAGTGGAGTTTGGGGGTCAGCCGGTCTCTATTTCAATTAATCCCATATGTTATGTTGTTCACTTTACGCGTTTCTCACTTTCTGCGGTACCCTGTGGGTTGAATTAACCGCGTAAAGTGAGGGTTGACTGTAATTTGAATATAAACGTAATATATTTTGCATAAAAGATAAAAATTTTAGCCCTTTGTAATAAAATTAGTTAGAACTAAAATTTGTATGTCTAATGCGAACTATAGCTTGTTTGTATTCAAACCAATCACTATCTTATAAGAATTCCAGCAATTTTAATCATATTCTCCCAGGTCAGTTTAGTGACATTTTATATGAGAAAACTTAAAGTCACTCTTAAAGACAGATAAATAAATAAGCACTAGACCTTGGCATCAACTGTCAAACATATCACCACACCTCTCCCCCAACTTCCCATCAGCTGATCGCTAGTAAACAGACCATTTCACGTCCCATAATTTTAGCTGTGTTGATTTTTTGAGTGTTTGTTTTAACATAATACTACAAAAAAACAATGTTTTGTTTATTCTAGGAGATGGGCTGAGGTGCATCTGGGTAGACTCGCAGTCTTTTTAGTATTTTGTGTTTCTCTCAAGTACCAAACTAAATTATTCCATTGAAACAACACTTCGATTTAGTGCAAATTCGGTTTAAAGCGACCTCTCTTGGAACACATCTCGTGTTATATCAACGTTCTACTGTAGTAGGTAGTCATATATTGCAAGGGATCTAGTATTCCTGAAAACCCTTGTAATGTGCCAAATTGTGATATGTTAAACTTATTTTTCTATACAGAATGACATAATAAGGAGGGATGCATTCCTGCCTGGAAATTTTTGGGGTACCATATTTTACAGCACATAAGATGCACAGCCATATAAGATACACCCCCATTTCAGCAGGAAGTATTAAGGAAAAAAAAATTGGTGAATTTTCCTCCTGTAGCCACAGTTTTCTTAAAATAGTATACTGTACAGTATAGAGTATAAGTAAATGTGAGGAATAAATAAAAATAATATCAATAAATAAGTTACAACAAAAAATACGGTATTGCCAAACCAGTAAATAAAAGCCAAATAAAAGTTTAGCACAATCGCCATTTGCATACACCCCTTGCTTCACCATAGCAACGCAGACCAGCAGGAACTCTTACCTCTGCCTACTCCCTAGCAACACAACCCCCTCCCACACTCTGCGCCCTTTTCCTGCTCCCTCACTGAGCCAGCTAACTCGGGTACAGAGCAATGTATATTCCCTTTTATGTTTGCCCTTAGGACAATTATTTTTTTTACCTGTAGTATTGTATATCTGTGTGTGTGTGTGTGTGTAGACACACACAAAACATACAAATGAATAATAATGGGAAAGTCCTCTCACAAATAATTTATCAGAAACAAGGCAACAAAATGTATTAAAAAATGTGAGTCTCTACCCTCAAGTCAAGTTCATGCTTTGTTATTAAAGTTATAACAAAGCACTGAGTTGACCTGAGGGTAGACTCTCATATTCTTAATACATTTTGTTGTGTTTCTTATTATTTGTGAGAGAACTTTTCCATTATAATTTATTTGTATGTGTTTTGCATGTGTGTGTGTGTGTGTGTGTGTCAATATATATACACACACACACACACATATATTGCAGGAGTCGTAGACCCTCAGCAATTTGGCAACATGAAAACTTCCTCCACCACTCACTGTCTTGTCAGCTTTCTCGATTACATATACCGCCATCTCGAGAAACGAAAAACGTCTGTAGCTGTCGCCTTCATTGATTTCACTAAAGCGTTCGACCTAGTCGACCACAATATAATCATCAACAAAGCAATTGACCTCGGGCTTCAGAGAAGTCTTATACCATGGCTTACAGACTTCCTCAGTGACCGACGCCAAGCTGTACGCTTCCGAGGGGCTGTCTCCACCTTTCAGTCACTCACCTGTGGCGTCCCCCAAGGCACCAAGATGGGACCACTCTGCTTCCTTATGCTCATCAATGATGCCCTAAGAGAAACCCCTGCTCGCTGGAAATATGTCGACGACTCCACCATTGGGATCGGCGTCAACAATTCTGCTCCCAACTATACCGCCCTTCAGGATTTATTGAACAGTCTCCAAAACTGGGCCACCAACAACCATGTCACCATCAACCATACCAAGACCATGGTTATGCACATCAACCTCTCCTCCGACATTGTCCCACCTCCTTCCATTACTCTAGGTCCGAACACACTCCAGGTTGTAGATTCCACGAAGCTCCTCGGCGTCAACATAGACAACAAACTAAATTGGAAACCACACGTCAGTGAAGTTGTCAAATCCTCCAGTTTCCGTCTCCACCTCCTCCGCCGACTCAAGTCCCTCGGAGTTCCTGCACACGAGCTCCTCAGTGTTTACACAACATTCATACTTCCCAAGCTCACCTATGCCTCCCCACCTGGTCTTCCTCCTAAATGCCACACAAACACCTAAAAAAGTGCAAAAGAGGGCATGCAAGATTATTCTCTCCTTCCTACTCCACATATCAAGAAGCGCTCAACACACTGACCCTTTCGACTCTCACTGACCATCACCACGACCTCATCTGCAAATTTGGTAAGAAGCTTCTACACCATCCTCGACACCGGCCCTACTACCACCTGAGATCCCTAGTCCCAGAATTGCTGTTCGACACCACAACCGCATCCAGCCCATACGTGCACGAACTGATCGCTATAAGAACAGCCCAGTCCCAACCATTGTAAAAATTATCAATAACTTGTAATAAATCAGTGTATTCACTCCCAGTAAACACTACTCCTTGCACTGTCACTATGTTGAAATGAACTGTAGTTTGAGCTTTTCCCCATCTAGTTATTATATATCTTATTTGTGTCACTTATGTTACTTTTATATTATTTGTAATTCGTAACCCATTCCCCAAATATGTAACTGTATATTTTCAGCCTTCTGGCTGCCAAGCTCTTTCAATAAACCGTTAATTATTATTATTATTATTATTATTATATAATACAGGTAAAAGAAATTACTGTCTCTAGAGCGAATGGCTCCCTGTCCCGGCTGCAAAAATACCAGCAACTTTTAAACTACATTTAGACATTCTTGGGTACATCCAGGTTGTCATCCGCAAATAATCGAGGTCCACAAAATGTCAGGGCATGCTGTATCTGTAGATTTAAAAATAAATGTTGCAGGTATGGCATTAATAGATAGTAATGCATGCAAGAGTTCAGAAATGGTTACTGTAAGCTGCCTCTGAAGAGTTGGGTGTCTGCCGTATGGACATTAATTGTCTCGGGTTACCATTATCAGTACAGTACAGTGACACCCACATTAGCCGGAACAATTGGTGCAGAGCACTTCTGGGGATGAGAGATTTCCGACTAACCAGACGACTTTCTCAAACCCGGAAAAATTCCCTATCCCCAGAATATTTTCCAGTTAATGGGAAAAGTTTCCAAGTGTCTAAACTAGACATCTTGCACACAGAGACACTAGCCCACTTCCCCAGAATGTTTCTGGGTGCTGGGGATCTTTTTCTTGAGTCTAAACTACCGCAATCTGTAAATGCAGTTTTAATTAAGTTAGAAACTACATTTCTTTACTACAGTAAAACCTCGATTAACCGCCCACATATGGGGGGGAAGAGGCTGACGGATAATCCAAAAGGTCGGTTAATATTAAATAAAGTCTACGGAAATAAAACATACCTTTTCAAAGTACCTATCCCTAACCTACCTCATTTAAGTCCCTCTATTCATTTTTGTTCATTTGCCATTCATATTTCAATAGCATTTGCTTGAAAACATTAACCACTTCAGTAAATAAATACGAACCAGCACAGAAACTGTGAATAATCATAGGAAGAAAAGTCAAAGAACATAATACTTTAAAAACAAAACTTTTATTAATGAAGTACTGTATGGCACATAAGCAGTATCCAAAAATCAGAAAAAAGAATCGAATAGTATTTTTATTTTATTGCTCATTTATATATTTATTTATTTTAGGGGTCCGGGATCGGCGGTTAATCCGAAAGTCGGTTAATCGAGGTTTTACTGTATAATAATCTAGAATAGTTTATCTAAAAGTTTGGTAAAATAAATAAATTTGAAAATTAAAAATCTATATGATATGGGCATGAATGAAACTGTGTTACAGCAAAGACTGGTATTTTCCACTCCCATGGAGCGGTGGGGGATTAGTGGGTCTTGTGTAACTGACCTGACGCAATGTCAGGTGGAGGTTGGGTGGAGGATTAATGGTCTCATATTATTGACCTTCTGATGGAATGTCAGGTGACCTTGACCTTAAGATGTCTTGAATAAACACAAAACCTTTAGTATTGTTAGAGAGACTGTGATAAGTATACAGGTATGTATAAATGGAGTGAGAAAGCAGAAAGGTGTGGGTAATTAGAGAGTTGGAGTGGAATGAGTGTTGCCAAGCACTCCTCAAGGGATTTTCAGATGTTCAGGCTGAAGAGTTGCAAGAAATCATTGGCCAACATCAGCAGCAACTGACAATTCAAGAAATGTTGGAGGAGGATGAATAAGAACAGCAAGCAACACAAGAGGATGACGTTAAGCCTGGTGGACCTACAACACGCCAGCAGGCCCTTATTACTTGGTACCTGCACAAGGCCCAGCCTGTTATTAATGCCTTGGCAAACATCACTTTAGGAGATGATGATGGCACCACCGATGATGATATTGAAGTGTTGGGTGACTTACTGGTGGAAGAGCTGCCTCAAGACTTTGAGGGATTTGATGCTGAGGTTAGAGGAGGTGTAGAGGCGGGAGCAGGGAGGAAGCAGTAACCAGCCCTCCCTGCCTCAGAACCCATCAACCAACACCATCAAGCATTTCACTGATTCCATCATGGTAAGTTATTGTACAGTATGAGTGTATATAAATATTGTAATCAACAATATGAACAATACTTATATAAATATGTATGAATACATTACAGTAATGTCATTTTCTTTCTGGGTTGTAGGTGACACTGCAGAACTGATTAGGATTATTTATGTGTAATTCAATGTCACTCGTTTCACGATTTCAACTTTTGCGATGCTAAAACCGGTACCAATTAGTCGCAAAACATGAGATCCTACTGTAGTCAAAACTCAAACAATTATGGTCTAGTCTAGATTCCTAACCCATAAAACCTGCTTCAATCCTAGAACATATTTGTGATGGGGTGTAAGTGTCACTGGTATGTACATAGATATTCATTTCATTCTATGACATATAGCCTCAGACTAAGATATAAATTGTTTCTCTCTGAGGGGATACTATCTTATAATGCTGGAGGAGACAGCTTACACAACACAAATTTCATGATAACCAAATTTCTACTCACTGGGATATCCACTGGAGACTGAGGTATTGTAGCTCTCTGGGGAGGGGTACAAGCAGGTAATGGGAGGCTGGGCAGTGAAGGAACATATTGGACGTCCATCAACGCTGTTCACCTTCACCTCTCCTAAAGCTGACCCAGATACCAGGACAGCTTTTCCAGACCCCCAAGGCCATGAGCCATCTAGGAAGCACATGTCATTAATGCTGTCCTCATGCAACTGTAAAACAAATAAAATATTCATATATATATATATATATATATATATATATATATATATATATATATATATATATATATATATATATATATATATATATATATATATATATATATATATATATATATATATATATATATACTACCAGTATCTCTCTCTCCATCTCTCTTTACAAGAGCTTCTAAAACAATAATTAACAACTTACCATTCTTTTTCTGTAACAGAAGAATATATAAAGGTGCAGCCACACCAAATGTAAACACTGTTAGTAACATATGTTGGCAACTGTATTATCAACATGTTCAGAGTCTAGTCCACACAAACATATCATTGTTAGGAACACTATTGTAAACATGCTGGGCAACAGTTACCAACAGTGTTTGCATCAAAGTTGAATACTGTATACAAACATGTCTACACCAATGCAGCAGTGTTAGCAAGTGCTGATAACTCTTAGGGCCAAAGCTGGTAACATTAGTGGTAACAATGTTGTAACTGAATCCATACCAATGGCAGATAATTTATTAACATTGTAGGCAAAATGGTCAGAAACAGTAGTCCCTCAAAACCGAGGGGGTTAGGTTCCTGGAAAATCATGTGGTTGGCAAATCTGCAGTTGGCAAGACTAAAGGCTTATGGGAAATAGGGAGTTAGGTTCCATGGCCACAGATACAGTATTTTATCAACTTAATGAACTAATTCAAGCCACTCCTGTTCATTAAATCAAAATTTCCTCTAAATCGAGCTTTCCGCTGCTCAGTCTGTGTCCTCCCGCCACCGAGTGTGTTGTTCACTGCTACCTCTCGGTCAACTTAGTATACACTGGACCACCTTGGCCTTCGTCTTTATTCAAGACATCTTCAGAGGCAGCTGAATTCATAGGGATGGAATGTCAAGTCACTCTTTCTTCGGTGGGGGATTAGTGGGTCTAATGACCTGAAGATGTTTTGAATAAAGACAAAACTAAAGTATTTTTAGAGAGATTGTGATAAGTATAAGTATAAATGAGCAAAGTTGTATCCCTTCAACATTATGTTACATAACATTCTAAAATATGGAGTGAGAAAGCAGAAAGGTGTGGGAAATTAGAGAGATGGAGTAGAAATGAATGTTACGAAGCACTCCTCAACAGCTGATATTTAACTCGCTATCACGCAGTCACACACGCAAATTTGTCATATTAAAAGATCCTCACTCCTCATACTTGCTGTCTCAATTACCTTGTTGGGGATATGTGAGTGGTGTTGGAGTGTGTGTGTGTGTGTGTGTGTGTGTGTGTGTGTGTGTGTGTGTGTGCACACACAGGGTGGTGTAATGCATATAGTGCAGGCACTGCTTCCTTCCTTTCGCTTTCAGCTATTGGCGCTAGCTAGCCCCCATGGTGAACATGGAAGCAACTTGCGTAAGTCTTCCCCTGCCAGTACACAGCCTCTTCACCATCAAGACTCCTGCTGTGCTTCTTCTTGGCAACACACGGTGACTGGGTGCCTCGTGGGCCCAGGCTAAGCCCGCAGGGAATCTCGGAGCAGCAGTGGGCCCCAGAGGGACGGTGCATAGGCCCACTGGCATGTGGACTCGTCCTGGGGCCTACCAACCACAGCCCCATTGCCTTGCGTATTAATCTTGGTAGATATAAGGCTATGGGAATAATCCCCGAATGAAAAATTTGCGCTGGAGCCCTGCATCAGGCAGACTTTCCTACAGACCTCTAACAAGACCCCAACGACAGTACAGTGGTCCCTCGGTTAACGAGATTTCGGTTAACGAGTTACCTTCCATAACATTCTTAACTTCGGTTAACGAGTTTCTTACGAGCCGACCTGAACATGTTTTTGCTTGCATTTGGCGGTCCACCAGCTGTAGTATTAGTCCGCCAATACAGTTTATAATATTCAATAATTTTAAAAGTTTAATATTAAATTTTTCAGCCATTTTAATAAATATTGAACATAATTGAAGGTAAGGAAACTAGTTTTATGCGTGCCATCCAGCCTCTCAACACACCATACAGGCGTCAGTCTTTGTGTCTTTTCGGTGGAGGTAACATCTTGCTTGAGACTCTCTTCAACTAAATGCTTTTTTTCTGTGTTTGCAAGCAAATTATTGGTCATTTTGAATTTTATTTTACATATTGACAATATATAATGCAGTGCAGTGTTGATTTAAAGAAAATAATCTTGAATTACACCAAGAGAACTAAAATTTTATGGGTGAAATGACACCATGGGGTTACTTCTCTTCCACCCCAATGCCTTCTCTTCTCCCTTCTCCTCCACCCCCATTCTAATTCCCATCATCATCATCATCATCACCCAGGAGCCTTCTACATACACACCTCAAAGTAAGTGTACTTTTCTACCTTTTTGGTTGAATTTAGGCAATTTTCGGTGAGCTGGAACCAATTACCCAAAAACCCATTGAAACAATGGTTTCGGTTAACTAGTTTTTCGGTTAACGAGCAACCTTCTAGAACGGATTGTGCTCGTTAACCGAGGGACCACTGTATAAGCGGAAGAGGTGACCAAAGAGTGGCGACGGGGACAGGCAGCAGTGCAACCCGGACCTCACCCCACATGGGGAGGGGGCTAGAAAAGATGCCCTAAACATAGCCTGCCTAAAGGATCAACCTGACTGGCCAACCACACCCAATAAGGCCATCCTTATGGGGTCGAAAACAAAATCATAATCACAGATAAAAAAAAAAAACTATACAACCTCTTATGGTCGCTGCATGGAATGTCAGGCCCCTTCTCGACACTAGCACAAATGAGTGTCCTGAAAGAAGAACTGCCCTTGTGGCAAAAGAGCTGGCTAGGTATAACATCAACATAGCAGCCATTATTGAGTTCTGGCTCCCAAACGAGGGTCAACTGACAGAACAGGGGTCTGGCTACACCTTCTTCTGGAAGGGCAAGCTTGCTGTGGAGATAACCTACATTTATGGAGTTGGATTTGCCATCTGCCAATCCAACCTTCATAGGCTAACTGAAATACCTATTGGGATCAACTAGCACCTCATGATGCTCCAAGTCCCACTGAATCACTCGCATTATGCCTTCTTCATCAGTGCATACGCCCCAACCCTGGACGCAGAGGATGACATCAAGGAGGCCTTTTATGCCGACGTTGACAGAGTGCTGTCCTCAATCCCCAGAGAAGATAAGGTTGTGCTCCTAGATGACTTCAGTGCCAAAGTTGGCAGAGATGCTGACATATGGCAGGGAACTATAGGGAGAAATGGACTAGGCAATTGTAATCCCAACGGCCTACTCCTCCTCAGCAAGTGTGCTGCACAAACTTAACTATCACCAATACCTTGTTTAGATAGACCGACAAGTCCAACGGTTCATGACAACACCCACAATCCAAACACTGGCTTCTCACTTCACCTCGCCCCAAAACGGCAAAGAAAACAAGCCTCCATGAGGCTTTAACACTAAGTGTCTGGAAGATCCAGTGGTAGCACATACTTTCAGAGAGCAGCTCGAACATGGGCTGATAAACAACCCGACAACAAACAACCCAAATCCCAGTGCCAAATGGGATATTCTCGACACTGTCATGACAAAAATCTGCAGAGACCCTCGGCCAGATCGAAAGAATACACCAGACTGGTTTGATGAAATGATCCAGAAATCAATGTACAGGTCAATGATAAACGTGCTGCTTTAACTGACTGGCAGAATAACCCTCAGTCTCGAACCAAAGCTGATACCTTCCACAAAGAGAGTGTGGTGGCCCAGCAAGAACTTCACAATCTAAAGAATGACTGGTTTAAAAATAAAGCATGTGAGGCACAAAACTTGCAGATCAACACAAAATGCACCAACTTTTCAATTCCACTAAAAAATCTAATAGGCCAATCACTCATGGCGCAGCCCTCCTCCACTCATCCGACGTTAACTCCATAATTAAAGATGAAGAAGGCCTCCTTCAGCACTGGAAAGAGCACTACCATTTGCTGCTCAACCGAAACACCAATGTGGATGTCCTGACTGCCCAGCAGGTCCCTCAGCATCCAGAGCTAACCCACCTCAGCTATTCTCCATCCCTGGATGAGATAGCTACTGACATCAACCAGATGAAGAATAAAAAAGCGTCAGGACCTGATGGAATCCCAGCTGAGGTGTATAAAGCAAGAGGACCTCTGCTTACTAGCTGTCTCCACTCTCTCCTGGAGAATATATGGGAAAAGGAGGAAATCCCCCAAGCTCTTAAAGAACAAGGGCGACCGGTCAGACTGTGGAAACTACCACGGGATCTCACTGCTGTCATTAGCTGCCAAGATTATGACCCGAGTCCTCCTAACAGACTTCTTCCTGAGGTGGAAAACTTCCTCCCAGAATCTCAATGTAGCTTTAGACCATCATGTGGCACCACTGACATGATCTTTACTGCCCACCAGGTACAAGAAAAGTGCAGAGAGCAGCGTCGTGACCTGTACAAGGCCTTCATCAACCTAACCAAGGCCTTCAACTTGGTCAACAGGGAAGCCCTCTGGCAGACCCTTAGCCATTTTGGCTGCCCACCAAAATTCATCACCATTGTGAGGCAACTTCACGATGGCATAAATGGCAATGTCCTGCACAATGGCATCCAGTCTGAGTTCTTCCCCATCCAAACAGGGGTAAAACAAGGATGTGTACTGGCACCTACTCTCATTTCTAATTTGTTGGCTGCCTTCCTTACCCCTGCCAGTGCCAATTTAGCCAGCGGGGTGGACATCAAGTACTGGATGAAGGATCTTTTCAACATAAGACAACTCCAGGCAGGAACAAAGGTGTCGGCAGCTTCCATTACTGAACTTCAGTATGTAGACGACCTCACCCTTGTTGCTCACACTGAACATGACCCACATGAGATCCTGAATACTTACACAGATGCGTATTCACACTTCGACTTTGAGGTGAATGTACGCAAGACTCAGATTCTCTTTCAGCCCACCCCTGGTTCAGCCACACCACCACCATCCATCCAGTGAAACAGTACTACCCTCTCTA